AACACATATATTAGAATACATACACACACACACATATATATATATATATATATATATATATATATATATATATATATATATATATATATATATATATATATATATATATATATATATATATATATATATATATATATATATATATATATATATATATATATATATATATATATATATATATATATATATATATATATATATATATACAAACACGGTTGCAAAACTGTGTTTTTCGGAGGTGTAAAACGTCCATATTTTAAAAATATAAATTTCCATATTCTGCACTATTTCAATACTTCTTCTATAGATCTACTACGCAGGGCCGGCGCTACCTATAAGGCGAACTAGGTGGTCGCCAAGGGCGCCATCTCTAGAGGGGCGCAAAAGGCTTTAATCGCTATTATCAAAAAGTACCTAATAATGAATAACTAATAATCAATAACTTTTATAAAGGAGTAGCAATCTTTTTCGGCACCCAGGACGAACTATCAATTTTGCACCCCCACTCCACTCACTCCAAAATTAGTAAGTAGTAAGTAAAGTTCCCTTTTTCAAACCTGACGGTCTATGGGGCAAGTGAAGTAGAGTTCACTTGTTTCTGTGACCTCGGCATATGAAGAGATAGTATGGTCAGCACTATGCCCAGCCGCCTTTACTTTCCCTAACGTGAGTTAGGTACCCATCAGAGTTGGGTGGACTCAGGGACGGTCTACTGACTTGAACCCGGATTCGAACTCAAAACTTACGGGTTAGCAGTCCAGCTCTATACCGCTAGACCACTCCGTCCCATCACTCCAAAATTAGGCCTATATTTATTCACGATGGTGAAAATGCAACCCCCACCTCCCTAATTTGGAAAGGTCGAGGCGCTTTTTACCAGTCAATTTGCTTTTTTTAATTTGGTGTCACATAATTGATGTCGAAAACGATTAAATGAGTTCGTAATTTAAATTTCGAACATTTCAAACGGTTATCTAATTTTTATAGGGCCTGTAAGTCTCATTTTCTCTGACTTTGACTTAGAAATCTGTCCTGGGGTATAGAGTTTTGTAATGACGGGGTGTTCAAAGTATTGTACTTGTTTGGTAAGTTTTGATGAATCGTTTAGATTTGGGAGTAACGGCGGAAGGCTGTTGCTGATGTGGTTTCATAGGTAGGCCTATAAAGTATCGAAGTGTTAAAGTGTCTTAATTTTTATTCGGCTGTTTTGTAGTTGAAGGTCTAGTGGAATCTGATTGGTTATAGAGAAATGAGAATGCAGGTGATAAAGTATTGTAGTTCTGGAGTTTGGGAGTATTGATTCTTGTGGTATTTAGGTATCGAATTATATTGACTGTTAAAGTGTAGTAGTAGGTCCAGTGAAATCGTTGTTGATTGGGAGTACCGTTTGTAGAGCTTGGTGAAGTTAAGCGAGTTGGTGTCGAAGTTCTGGAGCATCGTGTCTAGTTATGTTTAGGTATCGAAGTTTGATATGTGTTGTGAATGTAGTAGAGTATATCGAGTAGTCGAATTTATCGTAAGTTACATAATTTCAATTCAATACGGAAAACACTACAAAGAAAGGTAGGCGTTCTCTAGTTGAAAAAACTTTAATTTTTAGGAAATCTATATTACTACTCTTAAAGTATCTATCTATATATATATAAAGCAAAGTGGTCAGGTGCCCGATAGGGCACTTCCCGGCGCCGCAGGCGCGTCAAATTTGGCACGATGGTGCCTTGGGGCTAAAGAACACGAGGGTCGGTGACGGTTCGCCGAAAAGTCTACGGAGAGGGGGTCAAAACTGACCTCGACTGACCGACGTCTTATATGGGCTATATTACGAAAAAAAAAATTCCGACGACGACCCCCCTTGAAATTTTGTGAGGTGGTAGGAGAACGCCTTGGGGTGTCACAAAAAACTCGCCATGTCCGGGAAAATTCGTTAAATGGGTCAAAACTGACCAGTCGTATTTCCCTATATAATCTTTGTATTTTATGGGAAAAACAGAGGGTGATTTCAAAACAAATTTTAGGGCACTTACCGTCTTTACATCTGGCTAATTTTGTGCATGCTCTTGGGTAAATGGCTTGACCTTTAGGCAAAACTGTCGGTTTCACTCAAAGCCCTCGACGAGGGCTAAAAAATGACCGCGAGTGAAATTCTCTTTATATGAGCTCTATTACGAAAAAAAAATTCCTCCGACGACCCCCCTTGAAATTTTGTGAGGTGGTAGGAGAACGCCTTGGGGTGACACAAAAAACTCGCCATGTCCGGGAAATTCGTTAAATGGGTCAAAACTGACCAGTCGTATTTCCCTATATAATCTATGTATTTTATGGGAAAAACAGAGGGTGATTTCAAAACGGATTTTAGGGCACTTACCGTCTTTACATCTGGCTAATTTTGTGCATGCTCTTAGGTAAATGGCTCGACCTTTTGGGAAAACTGTCGGTTTTACTCAAAGCCCTCGACGAGGGCTAAAAAGTGACCGCGATTGAAATTCTCTTTATATGAGAATTATATGGGAAAAACAGAGGGTAATTTCAACAAAGATGTCAGGGTACTTACTCTTTGTATATCTGGCTAATTTTTTGTATACACCTCTATAGATGACTAGGCCGTATGGAAAAACTGTTGGTCAGACTAAAAGCCCTCGAAGAGGGCTAAAAATGACCGCGAGTGAAATTCTCATTATCCGAGATTTGGTCATTTGGTCTATGAATAGGGGAGGCAACTTTTTAATGTAACAATTTTTAAATATTTTGTATACTCTTTTTAAGATAAAAACAAAAATCATAAAGTATAGCATTGTTTTAAATAAATATTTTGTTATAAATTAATTTTTGCATTGTGCTGAAATTGTAAAATTTAATTGCGAAATTAATTTAATTTAATATTTGATTGATACTATTAGGAAAGCCCTTGCAGTTCTAATAACCTTGCGAGTGATAAGTTTGCGAATATTCCATCAATTTATAAGTGACATATAATTACTTCACTGTATAAACTTAGGCCCTAACATTTAACATAACAGCCAATCACCAATTAATTAATCATTCAATCTCTCAATTTTTTTGAAAACCTAAGCGAAGCTAGGCAGTATGCCTAGTTAATATATAATATTAAATATGATGGAATTTATAACTAACCGTAAACTTTGTTATTTCAATTTTTTTTAAATTTAATTAACAATTCTAGCAATGTCTAAAACAGTTACCCGTGTTTGATTTAATGAAAGACGTCCCCTTATTTTGGGGATCCAAAATTTTGAGTTATAACTCAGGGAATAGAGAAATAATGAATTGAAAGTCATCAAAATTGAATAGAAGTATGCTATAATAAAGCTACCGGTTTTTAGACTTTCCAACTAAACCTACAATTAAGTATTCAATAAGTAAATTTATTTATTTTCACAAGTTTACATAGCTAATATAAAACATTTGTTATAATCTTTACGTAAGGAAATTTAGAGCCTGTTATTGTGTTTTTCAAACATGTCTTAGTTACACTTGGTTAATTTAGCTATTCTTGTTAAAGTTATTTCCCTTTAATAAAATTTTGTTATTCGTATTTTCAAATGGGAGATAATTCGTTAATTAACTTTATATTCATTTCAAATTCATGCACCTTAGGTTGACCGCTTACGTATTTTACATATTAATATAACTTTAAGATATTGTAAACATTATATAGAGCTTAAGTTCTAAACAAAATAGTTTGGTATGTTTTTTTAGAATTATCAAGTTGAAAAACAAATACATCAGTAGCCGTTGTAGATTGCAATAATGTTAGTAGACATACAGTCTTATTCGTAAATTAAACATCTGATTAATTGTCTGTTCATTTTTTTTTTCACCCTCTCCTAAAGGATTCATTTATAACAATTTTAGGTTGGAATTTATAACATTTTTAACCTCTTATTCTTCAAAAACCAAAAATTGGTTACATAATCACACAATATAGATATTTTACAATAATAACTAAAGACAGTCAAGCTTAAAACAGTTAAATCCCTTTTTGGAACTCACCTTTGGTGGACTGCAGAGAGTCAAACACTACAAGAACTTTTTTTTTCAATGGTTTTTTTTCCAGACTTTTTTCTCCCGGGAGGGGGGAAGGAATAACAATTGTCTAAAGGGAGGGGGTGGGCTATGTTGTAATGTACAAAGTAGATTCGTGGATTTAGCAACAATTTCAATAGAATGTGATTACGCTTACAAACTGGAATTGAAGGAATTAATACAAACATTTGCGACGAAGGAGGCAAGTAAAATTTGATTTTGATGTCTACATATAACGTGTATGCAATTGATAATAAATTAATATGTCACTTTTAATTAATTGTTTTCTTTATAAATATGTTTTAGTAATTAATTTGTGTGAAAGGGGGCGTTTTAATAAGTTTGGCCTAGGGCGCTAAATAACTGGCGTCGGCACTGCTACTATGTAAGCGTGAAAGTAAAATTAAAGCCGACATATTTCAGGAAGTCACTTAAAAATGTTGTAGAAATTGAAAAAGAGCACATAATAATGTAATACATAATTTACAGAAGGAAAATGAAGTGTTTAAATATTAAAAATAAAACATAATAATGTATTGTGTTTCGTTGTAAACAGGCATTGTACACAGTATATTAGTATAGAACACTAAATTTTAGAAAAGCAAAAGTTAAAGGTAATCTGTTATGTATTGAAAAAAAAATAGATTTAAAATGGTAGAATGCTACGGGTTTCACTAAAGAAAAGAAAAAAAAAATAATACAAAGAGTATCTATTTAAAAACCAAAACGTCATTTCCTTTGGGATTTCCGAACAGTGGCTAAAAAAAAACCCACCGGGAATCCCCCAATCAGACTACATTGTGATATAATGACAGTCTTTGATGACGTGAGATTGTCTCGTATTGATCGATATAACCCCCCAACCCCTCACCCAATCAATCACAAATAAATTCAACACAATTTTTACACACACCCCACACACTTCTTTCTGTCTTTTCGTGCGGATATTTCCTTACCTTAATATAGAAAGTGACGTCAGGGAATGGTTCGTCGCAGCAGGCGTATCTGACGACGTTGCGCACACACTTGACGTAGAGCAGCTCCCATTCCCCGTTGACGATGTAATTGCTGAGGTCGACCTGGGTTTGGATCAGAAGAACAGGATGGGGAAAGTGGAGCAGATATAGAACATATTCATAGAAGCAAAAAACATTTTTCTTGAACTGGTAACATATTCATGGAAACAAAAAATATTTTCTACAACTGGTTTCATATTCTTAGAAACGAAAACGTATTTTTCTTCAACCGTAACATATTCATATAAACAAAAACATATTTTTCTTGAACTGGTAACATTCATAGAAACAAAAAAAAAAACATTTTTCTTGAACAGGTACCATATTCATAGAAACACACATATTTTTCTTGAACTGGTAACATAATCACAGAAAAAAACCATATTTTTCAAGTACTGGTAACATTTCACAGAAACAAAATTATATTTCTCTTGAACTGGTAACATATTCATAAAAACAAAGACATATTTTACTCCGCTGATAACTAGGTATAAATTTGGGTTTGAATCGAAAGAACAAGATGTTGAAAGAGATAAAGAACAAAGAAAAAAAATAACCAAAAAGATATTTTCTCGAAATGATTTCTAGATATAGATGACGGTTTGGTTCGGAAGAACAGTATCAGAAACATTTAAAGCAGGTATAGAACCTATTCATAGAATAAGGATTTAATAAAATCAGAGAAAGAGAAAAGAGCACTTAGGCTTATTTAAATCTTCAGTCCAAATACAATTTCTTGATTTTGTTTTTGGGGCAAGAAATTGTGTACAACAAGATTGCAAAACTATGTTTTTCTGTCTCAGGAAGGTGTAAAACGTCGAGATTTGCAAAAATTTCGATTATTTATTTGCACCATTACAATACTTTATCCGTTGTATACGAGAAAGTAATTTAAAAAAAGGATGTGTAAAAGCAGATTAAACATTGAACAACTTCATAAGAATCATAAGCATATTTTCACACAACGGTTGCTTTGTATGGTACAGGCGTCAACAAACTTGAAACATGGGGGGGGGGGGGGGGATCTTCATCGAACTTAAACACGATTTTGATTAGAATTTAGAGATATATTTATTGACTAAGAGATGGATAGAAATGAATTCGTTTTATAATATGTACTTTATTTAAAATCTAACAAATAAATTATTGTGCACGTTAGGTTTATAATTAGAGTATTTGTTACGGTCGTTATTACAGGATTTGTTACGGTCATCATTTACTACTGACAACAAGTAGGGCTAACCGGAATGTGAAACGAATTTCTATTATTTCAAATGCTAAGTTCGGGTTTAGATTTTTTTCGTTTATAAGGACATATCACACAACATATTTGGCACTATTAATTAAAAACTCAGTTTCATTCATTATCGGAAAAAGTTACCCAATAAAAAGACATACAACTAATTAACCTAATCATGTGCCGACAGTTAAAATAAACATCGCTGCATACACTTAAAAGATCAGAACGATTCCACGAAGAACTCTTTTCCCTGACAAATGGAATGTTTCTCCCTGTGAGAGGAGACATCTTTTCCAGCACAATAGATGGAGTGTGTCTACATTTGATGTATCCTTCCGCACTTGCAAACTCCCGGATAAGTGGCGGCTAAAGGGTTTACGGTAATTCTTAATTTAAATTGAACATCGGAAATGTGACAAAAAACATTTCCAATTTCCAGTGAATAAAAGGATTATGTGATTTAGTTTTTAGAAAGATATATATTTAAAATACACAACCTTTATCTCTATCCTTTCTCCACCTGTCTCCTCTTTACTCTATATCCCTTTCTTTCTATCTCTACATATATATATATATATATATATATATATATATATATATATATATATATATATATATATATATATCAGTATGTGTGTTGATATATCCCCGTCAGCCAGACAGCCATACTCCCCCCGCCCCAGCTCAGCCGGCACTAGAAGCCACTAAACAAGCACGCCAACAAGGGCTCACACCCCGACCAACCTCTGAGGTCCTGTTTGTTATATCGACCTGGTAGCCATCGTAGGTCCACGAGCCGAACTTGAGCGAGCACTCCTGGCTGTCGAAGGGAAAATAGGTCACGTCCACTTTGCACGAGCTCTGGAGTTTAGTCGGCACCGGCCAGAAGACGTTACCGTTGGGTTCTACCATGGCATTTGCTGGCATCAGGCCGTCGGTGTACTCGGCGGCGCTGTGGAAATACAGGGGGGGGTGTAGATTTATAGGGGGGTGTAGACTTATAGAGGGAGGTGTAGATTTATAGGGGGAGGTGTAGACTTACAGGGGGGTGTAGACTTATGGGGGGATGTAGACTTATGGGGGAGGTGTAGACTTATGGGGGGGTGTAAGGGGTCGTCCATAAATGACGTCACACTCGTAGCGAGGAGAGGGTTTGTAATTTTGTGACGGTGTGTGATGAGGAGGAGGGGGGGGGGGCTCAGATGGTGTGACGTCACACTTTTGCATTATAAAAAAGCAATGTTAGAAAACGAGTTTTAGCCGTTATTTCGCGTTTTAGAAAACTGTTTTAATAAATTGCAATAGGAATTGATTAAAATACTCTACGTTGACAGAATTCAGACAAGATTTTGGAAAAATATCGATGTTTTAAGAAAAACTTAACTGCAATTTTGAGGGGGGCGTTGGGCTGAGGTGTGACGTCATTTTTTTTTGGGGGGTAGTCTGGTTTTTTGTGACGATGTGTGACGGAGGGGATGGGGGATGTAAAAATCGTCCAAAAAAGCGTGACGTCATTTATGGATGATCCCTAGATCTATAGGGGATGTGTAGATTTATAGGGGAGGTGTAGATTTATAGGGGGCTGGGTTAGACTCAGAGAAGTGTGTATATAAACAGTGGACAAAATGGGATACTAATGCCTGATAGTGTCAATTAACGCCTGCAATTTGATCCTTAAAATAAAGACAATTTTTCGTATGGCTTAACGTTATATAAAAACCCACTTTTGTGTGACCGCTGTCTATTTTTGCCATAATTTTAAAAACCACCTATACGTCGTTAATAATGTGCCATGGCTACAATCATAGATATAATCATTTTCGTCTGTTATATAATGAGTATTGCTCAATTGTTTTGTTTATAATAGATACAGGTGTTTTTATTAATTTTTTAAAAAGAAATATGTAAAAGCCCCCAGCAGATCAAAAATGAAAACGTAATTTTAAAGATTGAAGATTCAGTTCATAAAGGAAGAAATAATCGTTTCCAATTTTTGTTATCGGACGTGTCTCGTGTGTTTCCATTTTCCGGTTTCAAAATTTGACCCAGTGGTTTCTTCATAGAATCAACAATTTAAAAAATTTCTAAATGTACCTTTAAGATGTTGATTATTGTAGTTTAGAAATACATTACGCCTGTGGAGTTTTATTTTTTTCCTTTTCTTGATGGACTTGTTTAGAAAATAATTGATCAACTAACAAAGGTTATGGAAATAAATCCAAAACGAAAAACAGGCTGAAATTGGAGTCAACGGCCTATATGGCGCATAACATGATGACACATAATACTTAATTGGGTTGGAAGCAATCCCGTCAAACATTACAATTAAGGATTACTTAACATTACTTTCATTATAGTTCAAACGAAATAATAAACATCAGGGCTGATGTTGTGTCAAAAACGACGAAGCGTATCTGCAAATTTTCAGTAGCTGTTAGACTCAGGGTAAATCTACTTCACCTATATTTCAGGACATAAGTTGCTGTTTAAGATGATGCTGATTTTAGCCTGGTAGGACTTTTTAACCGTGTTTTTTTTACTGAGGATTGAAAGCACTACGGACGAACTAGTTTTTATTTCCCGCTCCCCCCTCCCGACCTCTCTAAATATAGCAACATTATATTGGGTTAGGTTTATCAAGCTTGAATACACCTAATGATGGCTGTAAAGTCTTGAAGGCAAGATGAACTCAGCTGATCTGAATTGAATCGGCAAGACTCGAATGTCTCCAAGTTAGAAAAAAAAAACATCGGTACTGGGTGGGTAGATTTGCTAATGGGTTGGCTTGGTTATAACTTTGTGCTAAATAGATGTATTACACCATCAAATAATTCAACACTTGACAAATAGACCTTACACCTGACAAACAAACCCAACTCCTAACAAACAAACCCAACACCTAACAAACAAACCCAACACCTGACAAACAGACCCAACACCTGACAAACACAACACCTGACAAACACAACACCTGACAAACAGACCCAACACCTGACAAACAGACCCAACACCTGACAAACGAACCCAACACCTGACAAACAGACCCAGCACCTGACAAACACAACACCTGACAAACACAACACCTGACAAACAGACCCAACACCTGACAAACAGACCCAACACCTGACAAACAGACCCAACACCTGACAAACAGACCCAACACCTGACAAACAGACCCAACACCTGACAAACAGACCCAACACCTGACAAACACAACACCTGACAAACAGACCCAACACCTGACAAACAGACCCAACACCTGACAAACGAACCCAACACCTGACAAACAGACCCAACACCTGACAAACAGACCCAACACCTGACAAACAGACCCAACACCTGACAAACAGACCCAACACCTGACAAACAAACAGACCCAACACCTGACAAACAGACCCAACACCTGACAAACAGACCCAACACCTGACAAACAGACCCAACACCTGACACACAGACCCAACACCTGACAAACAGACCCAACACCTGACAAACCCAACACCTGACAAACCCTACACCTGACAAACAGACCCAACACCTGACAAACAGACCCAACACCTGACAAACCCAACACCTGACAAACCCTACACCTGACAAACAGACCCAACACCTGACAAACAGACCCAGCACCTGACAAACAGACCCAACACCTGACAAACAGACCCAACACCTGACAAACAAACAGACCCAACACCTGACAAACAGACCCAACACCTGACAAACCCAACACCTGACAAACCCTACACCTGACAAACAGACCCAACACCTGACAAACAGACCCAGCACCTGACAAACAGACCCAACACCTGACAAACAGACCCAACACCTGACAAACAAACAGACCCAACACCTGACAAACAGACCCAACACCTGACAAACCCTACACCTGACAAACAGACCCAACACCTGACAAACAGACCCAGCACCTGACAAACAGACCCAACACCTGACAAACAGACCCAACACCTGACACACAGACCCAACACCTGACAAACTGACCCAACACCTGACAAACAAACCCAACACCTGACAAACAAACCCAACACCTGACAAACAGACCCAACACCTGACAAACTGACCCAATACCTGACAAACTGACCCAACACCTGACAAACTGACCCAACACCTGACAAACAGACCCAACACCTGACAAACAGACCCAACACCTGACAAACCCAACACCTGACAAACAGACCCAACACCTGACAAACCCAACACCTGACAAACACAACACCTGACAAACGGACCCAACACCTGACAAACAAACCCAACACCTGACAGACCCAACACCTGACAAACCCAACACCTGACAAACAGACCCAACACCTGACAAACTGATCCAACACCTGACAAACTGACCCAATACCTGACAAACAGACCCAACACCTGACAAACTCACCCAACACCTGAAAAACAAACCCAACACCTGACAAACCCAACACCTGACAAACAGACCCAACACCTGACAAACTGACCCAACACCTGACAAACTGACCCAACACCTGACAAACCCAACACCTGACAAACAGACCCAACACCTGACAAACTGATCCAACACCTGACAAACTGACCCAACACCTGACAAACAGACCCAACACCTGACAGACCCAACACCTGACAAACCCAACACCTGACAAACAGACCCAACACCTGACAAACAGACCCAACACCTGAACAACAGACCCAACACCTGACAAACAGACCCAACACCTAACAAACCCAACACCTGACAAACCCAACACCTGTCAAACAGACCCAACACCTGACAAACAAACCCAACACCTGACAAACAGACCCAACACCTGACAGACCCAACACCTGACAAACCCAACACCTGACAAACAGACCCAACACCTGACAAACCCAACACCTGACAAACAGACCCAACACCTGACAAACAGACCCAACACCTGAACAACAGACCCAACACCTGACAAACAGACCCAACACCTAACAAACCCAACACCTGACAAACCCAACACCTGTCAAACAGACCCAACACCTGACAAACAAACCCAACACCTGACAAACAGACCCAACACCTGACAAACAGACCCAACACCTGACAGACCCAACACCTGACAAACCCAACACCTGACAAACAGACCCAACACCTGACAAACAGACCCAACACCTGAACAACAGACCCAACACCTGACAAACAGACCCAACACCTAACAAACCCAACACCTGACAAACCCAACACCTGTCAAACAGACCCAACACCTGACAAACAAACCCAACACCCGACAAACAGACCCAACACCTGACAAACTGATCCAACACCTGACAAACAGACCCAACACCTGACAAACTGATCCAACACCTGACAAACAAACCCAACACCTGACAAACAAACCACTCACTTGTTATACAGGACCATGTCAGGCAACCAGATCTTGTGGCACGGGATCCTCAGCTTCGTGATGTTGTTGAACTTTGACGGTTCCCACACCAGGAACTCGTCCACCCACTCCTGCAAGAGACCAGCATCGAACCTTATCAACCCAGTTCTATAGGGATGTGTTTATCATACTGACCTGTACATAACGCTATCAACCCAGTTCTATACTGATGTGTAAGTCATACTGACCAGTATAGAACGCTATCAACCCAGTTCTAGATGGATGTGTTTATCATACTGACCAGCATCGAACCTTATCAACCCGTTTCTATACTGATATGTATGTCCTACTGCCTTTTAACACAACTAGACACTAATGTGTTTATCATACTTACCAATACAGAACACTATCAACCCAGTTCAATATGGATGTGTCTATCATACTGACCAGCATAGAACACTATCAAACAAGTTCTATACGGATGTGTTTATCATACTGACCAGTATATAACGCTATCAATCAACCCCTTTCTATACTGGTGTGTTTATGATACTGACCAGTACAGAACGCTATTAACACAACTATATACTAATGTGTTTATCATACTGACCAGTACAGAACGCTATTAACACAACTATATACTAATGTGTTTATCATACTGACCAGTACAGAACGCTATTAATACAACTATATACTAATGTGTTTATGATACTGACCAGTATAGAACGCTATTAACACAACTATATACTAATGTGTTTATCATACTGACCAGTACAGAACGCTATTAATACAACTATATACTAATGTGTTTATGATACTGACCAGTATAGAACGCTATTAATACAACTATATACTAATGTGTTTATGATACTGACCAGTACAGAACGCTATTAATACAACTATATACTAATGTGTTTATGATACTGACCAGTACAGAACGCTATTAATACAACTATATACTAATGTGTTTATGATACTGACCAGTACAGAAGGCTATTAACACAACTATATACTAATGTGTTTATGATACTGACCAGTACAGAACGCTATTAATACAACTATATACTAATGTGTTTATGATACTTACCAGTACAGAACGCTAGTAATATAACTATATACTGGTGTGTTTATGATACTGACCAGTATAGAACGCTATTAATACAACTATATACTAATGTGTTTATGATACTGACCAGTACAGAAGGCTATTAACACAACTATATACTAATGTGTTTATGATACTGACCAGTACAGAACGCTATTAATACAACTATATACTAATGTGTTTATGATACTTACCAGTACAGAACGCTATTAATACAACTATATACTGGTGTGTTTATGATACTGACCAGTATAGAACGCTATTAATACAACTATATACTAATGTGTTTATGATACTGACCAGTACAGAACACTATTAATACAACTATATACTAATGTGTTTATGATACTTACCAGTACAGAACGCTATTAATGCAACTATATACTGGTGTGTTTATGATACTGACCAGTATAGAACGCTATTAATACAACTATATACTAATGTGTTTATGATACTGACCAGTACAGAAGGCTATCCACCCAGTTCTATGTACTTGTCAATCATACGAGTCAGTCTATAAACCACATTAAGGATATGTGATTGGTTTTCTTTACCGTAAGCTTGCGAATAACCCCCCCCCCCCCCACACACACAGTCACATAACATCATCACCCATCTTTTTTCCCCGGGAGTCTATTCATAAAACGTGTCTTGCTTATACTAATTAAGATATAGTTTTTTGCTGATTACGCGATTTTACTCTGATAAATAATTGATAGTACAAAATATGCGAGTTTTGCTCTTACAATAATTGATAAACTACATAAAACGTACAAGTAACTTAAGCGTTTCGCAACTAAACAGGTTAAAAACCTACCTGTACCAAACAGGTAGGTACAAGCGAACGAAGCTTTAAAATTGTTCCTGTTTATCCCAGTCAATCGATGTATAAATCGAGAGCTCTCTGCACTAAAGGCATGGGAAGATCGATAAGTCTGATTGAATTGTGGGAGGAATAATCCTGGGAAATATCCCATCAAATTATATTCGGGGAAATGAAACGTTACGAGTGGCAAAAATGTGTATTTATTTGCTGGTTGGGTGACGGGGGTTTTCGCTAGATGTAGTTTTTGTCCTGGTGTTTGCTGTCCAAATGTTGTTTGTGTTACCAAGCCAACGGTGAAGAAATGAGGTAGGTCAAGCGACACCCCAGACTAAACTCCGGCAGGTTTAAAAGCTCACGCTCATCTTTGTACCGGACTGTGAGATCTGGCGAGAGTACGTGAGATCTCGTTGATGGAGTGAGATTTAGTTGGAGACTTCAGATAGAGGGTACCGTGGTTCGGGTGACTCGACTCGGAAACTTATTTTAAAATCTGTCATGATTTTTTTTTTTCGTTTCACAAAAAGTTCATTTTCGCTCCACTGAATGATAGTATGCAATACCGGCACAACCATGGGCCATTTTTTTTTAAAATCATCATTTTACATTACAGTTATGCCAGGAAAATATCGCAGTAAAAATGAATCTAAAAAATAAATTGAATTTGTAAAATAAGTTATTCTAAATAAACAATTAGCAACTTTGGAATTAAGCAATGATTAAAAAACGGTTGCTGAAACTTGCCAAGTTTTAATTATCAGAATTTAAATTAAATAAACAATGAAAAGGTAAAATATTGAAAATAAAAGTATTTGCAAATGACGACTACAGACATTGCCGGTGTAATATGATTATGGTTCGAATCTGAGTGGGAATGGCGGGCTCAAATTGTTATAACCCCTGTACCATCAGACGAAGATTTAAAAATTCTAAAACCACAAAACAGATTTAAGTAGTTATGCAAATAATGACTAAAAAGGGTTATCATAACAAACTTATATAAATGAATTTAAAAATGAAATTAATTTTTTTTAAGCTTTATGAGCGACAATGATTTTCTTTATATACATAGGAATGCATTATATTTAAAGAAAATATTTTTATTAACATCTTTTTATTGCATATATAAAAGTCTTTTTTATTAAAAGCACTTTTATTATTTTTTAAATTAAATCCAATGAACTTATTGTCCATTAAAAGAAACAGAATTGTGCATTTTAACGAATAAAAATAACACTTTACACAGCAAACTTTAACTATTTAAAAGACAAATTAATCAAACATCTGCATACGTCAAATTGTATGTCACATTGCATTGTCATTGGGTCTTGACCTATTTCTCTGGTTTGAAAAAAATCGGTTCTGTAGAATCGATGAAATTTGGGTCGCAACTTTCGACCCTTGCCGAATCAAGTAAACAAAAAATGTATTAAGCTCTAAGCACAATAAATCAAGTTTAATAAACGCTTGTAAACTTTTTAAATTATAATGTTATTTAAAATTTTAAATTAAACATTTTATTAGTTGTTTTTGCTTTTTTTTTTCAGAAATAAATTCTGCTGTCTAAATATTTGATCCCGGATGTTACGTCCCTTACATGTCCCCTGCTTGTGTGTGTGTGTGTGTTGTGTGCTGTACCCTCCCTTTGGTGTATAGTTGTATCCCTTGGTTGAGTGTGTTTACATGGAGCGAGAGGTGTTCACGTGAGGTGTGTCAGGTGACGGGTGTCAGAGCGTGTGCCAGTGTGTGAATCAGTTAGTTGTAGTGTGGCTGTGGACGTGGAACGTGGAACGTGGGGTTGAGATCTGGATGTGAAGTTGTGCTGTGGCTGTGGACGGGGGAGACGTTGAGTATCTTGTTATTTTATGTTGTAGACTCCATTTGCTCTTTTATTATTCTTATTACTGTATACATTTATATTAAACATCTTATTGTTATTATTATATTTATGTGACCTAGGCTAGTTGCATCTTTCCTGTTCGCAACGCCAAATGTGACCTTCCCCGAGTCTATCCTGCCCGACAACGCCAATTGTAACGAGTTGAACCACTCATGCTACACAACATCGACTACAGTAGAAAGACTCGAAGATGCAGGTTCGCTATTGATCCTTTTATTACATGAATCAAGAAATGCTTCAATATAACACAATGAATCAACAGAAATGTTTCACAATAATAGTCTGAATCAACTGACCCCCTAACAGTCCTCACTAGGCTTCATATAACTGAATCCACATGTCTATTGTCCTTCTTAACACAATATAACCAACTTGAGTATGTCACACAGACTGACTGATCTAAAGCCAGCGATCGAAAAGGAAAAGGGGCGAGTTCTGCCGTCCCCTCCTATTTATGCCTTGTATCCGTACTCGTCTCCGTACTTGTATTCCTCCGTAATCGATACTTGTACTCGATGTCTCCGACCACTAGTTGCGTAGTTCTAACATACAGTCCGTGAAATAACATCTGCATCCCATCAATCAAAGTTGACAGGCCGTCTGAATCTCCTTGTACCGTTTCCCAAAATAGCACGCGTTGGCTTTGAGATTGTTATCAGCCCGACCCAATAAGCCACCTGTTGTGTTGCGTCAGACTGCAATACTGCGTCTCGGCTTCTCGTTCGTTATCAGATTTGTAACTAGTAGTTAGGCCCACCCTTTTTTTGTGTGTTTTCAACCACAAACAACGCCTGGCAGGTGCACTCCTCCAAAGTCAATCGCATAATCGTAAAAAAAAATTTTATTGTTCCACTCACTGTCCACGACGTCCCATTCGTATACGATTGACAGTTATACCTATTTCACATATCAACTGTGTCTACATCGTCTTCCTGAGACACAAAACAGTTCTAGAATTCACATCCACCCTTTTCGTTTGGTGCCTTCACCAGTTCACCTTTATAGCTTTTTGAACAGTCTGTTCTCATACCAGCGCGACCATGAAAGATTTGATGGTTGCTGACAAAAAATTTCGTCTTCCTTCTGTTCCTCAAACTTCTCCGCGGACCACTTATCTGATGGTCTACTGTCTCTCTGCTTCTGGAAGGAACGGGATCCTCTTTGTTGCCGTTATCCTCCACTTGTGTATCGCGGTTGTTCTGATGATGGTGATATGGTTCCGGGATGGGTATGTGAGTTTCCGTTATAATTTCCGGTTCCCTAATTGTCTTGGATTTCCTTGTGTGTAACTGCTCTTCTTGCC